CACACACACACACACACACACACACACACACACACACACACACACACGGGGGCTTTGGCGGGGAGAAAAACCTGCAACCTACCTATCTCATTTCCAGATTCCCCCTAGACACATTAATAATTAACTTGCCTACCCGGGAGCTCGCCGGCGTTGCCATAAAAGATGAGTAATGGCACTGGAGCCCCGGCCCCTTGCCTGCAGGCTTTTGGGCTCGGGGCTGGGACGGGCACCTGGAACAAAGCCTCCGCATTCCTCCGGGAAGGTGTGTCTGAAACCAGACCGTCAATGAGAAGCTGACCCTTTACCTACCGCTTAGCCGGCTCCCGGCAAGAAGGGGGCGGGGGGAGTAGAAAGGGAGAGGAGGGGCGGGCGCCCCAGTGCGCGGTGGAACGGGTGCTGAGGTAGCCTCGGCCCCCTGCCCCCTCCCCCCCTCCCAGACCAACCAGAGCCCCCCCAGCCACAGCCGATTTCGGGAAGCTGAGCTGTCTGCAGCAAGATAATCTCGTTACCATGAACGCGGGCTGTACTTAGAGACCCAATTCTCAGAACAACAAGGTAGCTCCCTCGGCGCCCTTCCCGATGAGTAACCCAAAGCTGGGCACCAGCAGCTCAACAAATTCTCTCGCTGAAACTCCAGCGGCGAGCGGCTGCTCCCAACCTGATGGCCAGCCGGGGACGACCGGCTCCCGTCATGTCAGCACCCGGGTGCAAAAGCTCCCCCACACGCAGCCCGTGCACCATGCGTCCTGCCGGCTCAACAGCCAGCAGCCTCCCGAAAGTTACGGCACGCAGACACACCTGCAAGTCCCCCGCGGTGGCCCCCGCCGGCCCCCCAAGGCGGCGGGGCACGCGTCCCCGGGTGGGCAGCGCCACGGCTCCATGCGCTCCCTGCGAGAGCCGGGGCCCGCCACCGGTCAACGGCGCAGGGCGGCGGAGTGCGCCGGGGCCTCAGCGCGCCGGCAGCGCATCGCGCGCCCTCCTCGTCCTCGCCTGGGCCTTTCTAAGGAGCCCACACCCACTTGACATCAGCGCGGATCAAAGCACGTGGCGCAGCGCCAGACGGCGGACCCCCGGCGATCCAGAGCGCACCATGCGTGCCCCCGCTCGGCCAAGACCGCACGTCCCAGCGCAGCACATTCCTCTCCTTGCAGAGGATGCCGCAAGCCGGCGTGGGTACGGAGACGGAGGAGGCGCGGGGGGCGGGGGGCAGTAACCGGCGGAGGTGGCAGGAACTGCCGCCTAACAGGCGCTGCACTGGCGCCCAGCCAGCCATAAGTAGACCTTACAGCCATTGCCGCAAGTGTCCATCGACTGTGAAGACGAGGCTGCAGTGACCTGGGTAGCTGTTCCCTCCTCACCAAGGAGATCCCTGACCTTGAATTGACTCAAAGAGGCTCCTCTCTAACCACCCCTACTAAACTGCCGGGACCGATTCTGCCAAGCCAGGAATGAATACTTGGTTGCATATGTTTACTGACCCCATCACCTAGGAGGCTGCCATGGGGCACCCAGAGGAACAGACCATACCCTCTAACTTGTGTTTATACCAGCCGCCTCTACAGGGTCTTCTTTATCTCTTCTCTCAATGCCCTTGACAATAAGGAACAGCTCTTCCTGATTCTGCAGACAATCAGAAACAGCACCACCCAGCAGCCCACACACACTTCTAATTCACTCATTAGCACACATCCAAATAGTCAAACATTCAAGCATTTATTAAGACTTAGTATATGCCAGGAGCAACAGAAGATAAACAACATTCCTACACTCAGAGAGTAGGCTATTCAGGGAGAGAAATTAAATACAAAGCAAGGTGATTATCATTGTAACAAGGGTATCAAAGGTACTGTAACAATGTACACAGGGACCCTAAACTATGTTGGCAATCAGGAAAGCCTTCCAAGAAAGTGACATTTGAGTTGCTAAGGCATGAAGAGAAGTCATCCAGTGTGGGAGGAAAAGTTCAGGCAAAGAACCTGCTTAGTAAAGTGTAAACTCAATCCCATTCACAGGTGGAGATGATCAAGCAACAGTGACCTGCCAGGCGGGAGGAAACACCTGGGCCTCTGCCCAGGAGGGGTGTGGAGCAGCTCACAGACCCTGTAAAGGAGCCTGGTAGTCCTGTACAGAGGCCCTTATCTCTGCTTCTCAACTCCCCTTGAACAATGTTGTCACACCTCAGTGAAAGGGCTCTGAACAGGAAGTCGGGCGCCTTCCCCTCTGGCTCCAGCTCCATCATCAATTTGCTGTGTGGCTCTACAGAAATCCCACTCTCTGGTTTCAGTTTCTCTATCTAAAATGAGGGGTTGGATTAGGACAACGTTTCTCCGTTTACTGTTTTAAAACTCATACTCCCTTTTGGATAAACTGTACTCTAGTGTCTATGATAAGACATCAAATCATTTTCCAAATCCAAAATTATAATATGGAATATGTTTTTAAAGTTACATATGCCCTTTAAGTATTAAGTGATATTCTGTCTATTGATGTCTGCTCAAGGCAGGAACAAAGAAACAGTCTCCAAGCTTACCCAATTCCTATTACTGTACCTGTCCCTCCCACATGAACTTGGCCACCAGCACTTATCATCATTTCTAGCCTCATTCCTTTTATTCTTTCCAGGATAAATGGACAGCAATAAACAGAAGTCTGGGTCATCCAAAAAATGAAAAAGCCAAAAAAAAAGGCATGTTGTGGAAGACTCTTGAATAATTTCCAGTGATGCTGGGAAATACATACTTTGAAGGAAACATACAATGGTCCTGGAGTCAATTTAACAACATTAATTAAAAGCCTTAAACATGTTCCTATCTTTTGAACCATCAAATCCATAACTAAGAATTTATACCCAAGACATAATTATAGATGAACACAAAGCTTTATGCACAGGATGTTCATTTCACCATTTTTGTAACAGGAAATAAGTGGAAATAACCTAAGTGAACAGCAGGAGATTGGTTAATAAACTGCTGCACATCTTTATAATTGAATATTTGCAACTTTATAAATGATACATAGAATATTTAGTGTTCAATAAAACAAAAGAAATGCTACAAATGATCCCAACTGTGTGAGCATGTGTGCTTCAGGGCAGTGGTAAGCATGTATGGTGAAGTTGCACTGTGTTCATTTTTCTTACTGGCTGACTCAAAACCTACCCCCTGGAGCAAAACTTGAAGCCCCTATAGCATTTCATCCCCACAAGTACATCTGTTAACCTGTATTAAAGTTATAGTAGCTTAATATTAAACAGAATGAAATACAACTCATAGGCTGACAGGAACACAGTTAATTCTCTACCACTATCCACTTGTAATTAGGGATTTGACAGTATCTTAAAGGGAGAATGGCTTTCCCTCCAGACTTTTCATTTCATATTGATTTTTCAGTTGTTCTTTCCTTGAGTCTAGTTCAGTGGTTTCCAAACTTTAGAGTACATAAACAGTTACTATCCAAGGTGGTTTAGGATAATTTTGACTTAAGATTTTTCCCCCTACACTCTGAGTTTAGAACTTATCACTGTATAAAAGTTCAGGAACAAGACTACCAGAGGGATATTTACCAAAATGTTGGAATCACAATTGATTTTTATTTCCTTCCTTGGGATTTTCTGGGGTTTTTTTTTCACATTGTTAGATTATAAACATATATTACCTGAGTAATCAGAAAATTAAATGCTGCCTTAAAATAAGTGGGTTAAAAACGTTCCAAAAGATAAAACAAACTATGCCTTGATTTAAAAAGGATTGACTTTAATCATGACCTTCATATTCCTCCCCTCTGCAAGCTCTGATACTGCCCCAGCTGGTACCCCAACACCCAAGGACAGACAGTACATCGTCGCTAGGATACCATGCAGGAAACACTGGCAAGAAAATTATTTTTACATTTTCCTCCTGGGCTGTGCTTATAATAATGCTTAGGAGCTTAGACTAAAGGGTCCAAAATGAAACAGCTACGACCATCCATTAATGGATTTGTCCCCTACACCCAGAACTCGCTACCAAATATTCTTAATAAGCCAAGAACATGTAAGGCATATACCCTTGTTCCTAAGGACCTAAGACTGTTCAGCCTGCTTTTCCCAGCCCCAGTGGTAGGACCAGTAGAAAAAGAACAGGCCATAAACCAGACTGGGCTCAACAACAGCTAGTTGGACGATGTGTGTCTCAGATTCCCCTCTGTTAAGTAGCCTAATGAAGGCTCTACTTTTCCTTTAAGGGACTGGCAATAAAAGCACTAGGACCAAGTGAACAGCAACTCCTCAGCACAGGAGGCCAGTATTTATCGGAAGTATATGCCGGGCCTTCTGTGGGGAGAATGGAGCGAGAGAGTTGTGGGTGCCCTGGCACAAGGCTGGCAAACTGCAGCCTGCCTCACATTTCAAGCTTTCCAAGAACCTAGAGAACTCACAAACCAGAGAAAGGAGCTGAGGTGGGAAAGATAACTGTGCTGATTTTCTCCTGTGGCAAAACTCAGGGACTCTTAAGTGTAGGACAAAAGGCAGGTGGAATGAACACTAAGCTGGTAGCCCAGGTTTCTCAAAACTTAATAAAGGCAAAACCATGAGGGCAGAATCTGAAGATAAGGGATGCTTGTGTTATTTGGCCACTTTAATTCAATAATTATTTCATCCCCTATCAAGCATTGCAACTTCCCACATTTTCTGCTCAAAACACATGACTTCCAAGCCAGACAGAGCTACCATTAGGTTACATTTTAAATCCACCTAGAGTCTAAAAATGCGAATTTTACTGTTATGATGACTATTAAAACACAGGGCCTTTGTTTAGAGAGTGAACAGAGGGGAGGAAAACCCAAATATCAAGGTCTGGGAATTCTGATCATTCCAGAATTGTTTCTGGGAAGGATATTATCAGAACAAACCTGAATTTTAGAAATAACTTTAACAGGGCTAAATGTTATCAGAAGGCCCACTCTTAAACAACTGTCCAGCCCCTCAAGAAGAGACTGGCCCCCCACAGCCTGGCAATAGCTTGGGGGCAGAAATGAGGCACCCAGCTTCACCTAAGCAGGAAACAGCAAACACACTGGCCAAGGGAGCCAACTTGGACCTGGGACTTGTTGCATAAGGATCCCTAAGACAGAAAAAAGCCTGCTTGCTCCGTGGTTGGAGGCCAAAGGCCACCCAAATGAGAGTTCTGATAAAATTAATAAATAGCTAAATGTATAACTTTATAGATTTTTAATGAATCAAGAAAACCAGACCACAAAACACCTAATAAGCTAGAACACAAGTCTAGGACTGGGATCTTCATACATTCATTTTAATCAGACAAATCTCCAGGTGATTGTTTTTAAAAAGCAGATTCCAGTAGTCTGCCCTTCCCCCACCCCGAGAATCTGGTGGCAAAGGCCCAGCTCTACACTGTAGTAAGCACCTCAGGTGGTTTGGCTGTGTGTGTGATCTGGAACCCACACACTGAAACAGTCAAACCAGGAGGGCCTAATACACCTAATCTTCCCTTTCTAGCAAGAGTCACCCAAGCAGGCTTGAAACAATTCATAATTTAAACTGAATGAATGCAACTGATATACCTCTTGTGAAACCTCAACAAAAGTACAACAGAACTAGGGCATGAGAAAAAATGCCGGACAACAGAAAATACAAGGAAGCACTTAGCACAGAGGAAGTCAATTCTTCTCTCTTAAAGGGATGAGGATGGTGTACTTGTGATGCCTGCCTAGTCTCACCTTGTACTCCTAGGCCAGGTGTAAACTAGCTGAATTCTCCAGTATTCTCACCTAAAAATTCCATGGACTCCACCAGATCGGAGTTAAAATCTGGACTCACCCACTTACCATGGATACATTTTCTCCCCTGAGACACTATTTCCTCAACTCTAAAACATAATTAAAAATACCTACCCCTCCTGAGGAAGAAATAATAAATTTCCTAAGTGCAAGGTAGTTACGTGCTTATGGTTAATGGTGGTCAACATCACTCAATGGATAAACATTTTTAAGGGCTTTCTACAAGTCAGGCTGTGAAGGAACAGAAGATACAGTAGTGACAAAAGAGACAGACAAAAGTACAGATAATAAACAAGTTACAAATAATTTCACAGATTGATGTGTGCTATG